GCGAATAGAGTTTTATTAATGCTCCTAAAATAAATGTTGAAACGTTACAACTGAGATCTGTGTCTATGTTTGAAGACACAGGAACTCCAGAGGAGGGGAAATAGTCAGAACCCCAACAAGAACCCTCACAACACACAATTTCCTGTTGTTTTTAAGGGCTCTGAGGAAGACAGACTCTGGCTAAAATCTTAAGAGATGGGGCTTGTGGATTTCATCAAGTGAAACATCTGCCCTGCCAACCCATCCCCCATAATTTAAGCATTGCAGCAACACAACTCACCCAATATGACTCAATGGGGTGAACGTCTCCAGCAGAGGAGCAGCCACACTGAAGGATAGTCCAGGCAGCTGAAAGCATTCTTGGCTTCTGAAACAGACTCTGCCCCTACACGTGCGGCCAGGCTCTGCTGCGGGTGAGCTAAAGGCCGTGGAGACGAGGGTGTGCTGCAGAAAATGAAAGCAGGGAGTCCTCTGGCGCGGGGAGCTCACCTTGCCTCTACCACATGAATCTGATGCAGCGAAGCTGTGCAGTGATTTTAACGAGAGGAAGTAAATAAAGCTCATAATACCAACAAGACACTTTGATTAATAAACAGTGGTACAGCAGAAGGCACAAGCGCCATTTCATTGCCTGCTTTAAACTATTTTATTCACCATGGTTTGATCTACTGTCTTGTTCAGCTTTGTTATTTTTATGGCTTATGCAACTAATTTCTAGTTCATACATTAACTGGGTTTTTTATGTCCCTCTGCTGCTGCTTTTCTGTGTTTGATCATTTCATGACTGCATGGATAGCTTCTAAGGTTGTTTTTGTAATCAATGTTTTTATGAAAGCTGCTACTGAGCGCTGCTTTGTGGTCTGCAAATCCGCAAAGCAGCCTGTAAATATCTATTTCTTTTTTTTTTTCTACTCCCCCCCCCCCCCCGTTTTTTAAAAATCCTTGTTGGCATGTTGTGCTCTCCTAAAGCTGTGTGGCTGACAAAACAAACGGAAGGTGACAGATATTGGCTCAAGCAATACAGAATTTGTTTCTGAATATTAGAAGTTGCTCCCTTTAGGATAATCAAAGGCAATATTTCTGTGCTCCATTGAAAAGTCAACAGCACTGAGTCTTGAAATGGAACCTTTGGACTAGCCTTCTTTGATCAGGTGTCCTCAAGATCCATTGCCTTACTTCAAGGCAACATAAGCAATGGCAGCTGAAGTTGACAAATCCGGAGGACATCATATTGGGTGAAAGCATAATCTAGAGACTGTGGGATCCAGAAAAAAAAGAGGTACACTCTTAGAAGGAAAGCAATAGTATTTCAGGCTCATCCAAGAGAAGCAGAAGCAATAAAGGGCCCTCCCCTATTTCTTTGTTTCTTCTCAGAGGCCTTTTCTTTGCATTCATTGCAAGACTCTGCCATCTAGTGACTCACGAAAATTTGAGTAGCAGGATGAAGCACAAGACATTTTCACATCAGAGGTGAAGCAAAGCCAAAACTGAGGGAGTTGTCAAAGGGAATTAGAGTGAGAAGAAAATTAAGACATCTCTTTCTCCAGGGCCTTCAGGCGTTATGGTAGACATTATATGCTTCTCGAACTGTCTTGATGTGTGGTTTTGCTCTTGTTCAAGACTTACTCATCCACTGAATCTGAATGGTGGGAAGGAGTAAAGGGAAGCACAGATGTCATGAAGGCATAGCCTGAGTGTTCAGCGGGAATAAGAGCAAACCCAGTCATTACTCAGAAATTGTGTACATGAATCTAGGCCTGTTTATGTAACTGAAAGTTTGCCCTGTTTCCCTGAAAATAAGACCTAACTTGAAAATAAGCCCTATTATGATTTTTCAGGATGCTCGTAATATAAGCCCTACCCCCAAAATAAGCCCCAGTTAAGTAAAACCCCACCCTCCACCATTGTGCAGCAACCAGAAGAAGATGAAATGACTGTATTTGAATAAATGTAGATTGTTGTACATGAAAAAAACCTGAAAATAAACCCTAGTGCGTTTTTTTGGAGCAAAAATGAATATAATTTTTGTCTTATTTTCGGGGAAACACAGTATTAGTGTTGTGGGAAATTGGTTCTGACATGAGGGCATTTAACACATACACTATCCTGCATATTTTTATATACAATATATCTTTGGATATAGCTTGATTTTCCTTGTCGGAGGAGCTCATGCAAGAAAAACAATAGCTTAATTCTCTGGGTACAGCAATGATGTATATAAACATTTTCATTAAAAAAATTAATTAATAAGGACCCAGAACTTTTTTAAGTTAAAAAAAAGCTGTAATGTTAAAATGGCAAGTCATTAAAAAAAGTATACGATGTGATAAGCCCCAGTTAAGTGAAACCCCACCCTCCACCAGGGACATTAAGCAGCAACCAGAAAAAGAGGACATGACTGTATTTGAATAAATGTAGATTGTTGTACATGAAAAAAAATCCCCTGAAAATAAGCCCTTATGTGTTTTTGGAGCAAAAATTACTATATTTTTTGTGTATAAGACTATACTTTTGTCTAAAATATTTAGACTAAAAATTGAAGGTCGTCCTGTACACCAGTGGTCCCCAACCTTGGGCCTCCAGGTCTTCTTGGACTTCAACTCCCAGAAATCCTGGTCAGCAGAGGTGGTGGTGAAGGCTTCTGGGAGCTGTAGTCCAAGAACATCTGGAGGCCCAAGGTTGGAGACCACTGCTATACACGGAAGTAAGCTGAGGAGAGAACAAAAACAAGTGGAGTGGTAAAGCAGGGATCAAAGCAATTCTGCAGCGCTATTATCCCTTTTCTCCTACACTTGCTAAGCCCCACTTAGATTTCTTAATTTTGGATTAGAAAAGTGGGTGTGTCTTATGCATGGGGGCGTCTTATACACAGAAAAATACAGTAATATGACACTGTCTTATTTTCAGGGAAACATGGTATCAGTTTATGCATGGGATCTGCACATGCATTGCAAGGGTTTTAAATACAGCTTGCCCCTGCTGCATTTCTTTGTGGATAGGGATGCTGGATAAAGTTGAAGTTAGAAAACTCTGGTGTGAATCTGTCTGTTCCATATTTCTGAAATTAATTTGCTGTAACACAGTTCACTTCTCCTAAAGCTCATCCCTAATTAAAACCTCAAACTTTGAGATAATAGTCTAGAAATATGCATATTTTGAAAGAAAAAATTAAACAGGACACAATGTACCTATAAATAACCTATGCGAAAATGACATAGATCAATGCACCTATCCAATTTTGGCTCTGAAAGCCTATTTTAAAGGTATCACAGGAAGACTTGATGTGGCATTGAGGATTGCAGTTGGGGAAAAAAGCTGTGACCAGCCCATGCACAAGCATAACTTCCACTTAACCTAACCAGGATTTGGATCATGGCTGGAGTGAGAAAAGCAAAGTAGTTTATGCCTCTTTTGTTAAGTGGAGATTTATTTTAAAATGTTAAAAAATGCACAAAAATGATGATAGAACTAACAAGTACTAATGCTGGGTAGTTAACATATATAGGATCTAGAATGTATAAGCATCTATCAGACCTTACTATCAGGACTGGGGCCATGCCAGAACTATGCAACCTTAGTGCAAGAGAAAAGCAAAGTAGTTTATGCCTCTTTTGTTAAGTGGAGATTTATTTTAAAATGTTAAAAAATGCACAAAAATGATGATAGAACTAACAAGTACTAATGCTGGGTAGTTAACATATATAGGATCTAGAATGTATAAGCATCTATCAGACCTTACTATCAGGACTGGGGCCATGCCAGAACTATGCAACCTTAGTGCAAGCAGGATTAGTTAACATATATAGGATCTAGAATGTATAACCATCTATCAGACCTTACTGTCAGGACTGGGGCCATGCCAGAACTATACAACCTTAGTGCAAGCAGGATTAGCCCATCCCTCTGGGGAGAACTGCTCTAGAGATTGCAGGACTGGGCCCTTTCCCTGCAGCTGTTGCCCAGCTCCTCAGGAGTGCCACCTGTGGAAGCACTGTGGAAGCTATATGAGAACAGGCTTTCCCTACAGACCTTTCCCTCGGCAAACTGTCAGGGTTCAGTAGAAAAGGCACCAGGACCCAGTCCAGAGCAAGACCACAGAAACAACTCTACAGTCGAAGCAGAGATCAACCAGCTAAGGTTTTGAGTCCAAACAGTAGCTAAGTAGAAGGATGATGTGAACTGTGGTCAGACAGTCCAGGAGTCAAAGCCAGGAGGAACAGTATCAAGGCAGCAGGGTCCAGGGAGGCGAGGCAGGAACAAGGCGGGTGGCGGACAGGGGAGGCGAGAGGCAAGGCAGGAACAAGGAGGCTGGCGGACAGGGGAGGTAGGAATCACAGCAGGGGCAGAGACCTTCATTGCTGAGGCAAAGGTCTGTAGGGAAAGCCTGTTCTCATAGAGCTCACCTGGGTCGGGTGGCCATGAGTTATGGTGAAGGCAAACCATTCCTGGACCTAAATCTAATTATTCTAACTAGAATTACACCCCACAAATAAATGGAACTTACATTAAGTGCTGCTGTACCAAGGTCATATTAGTGATCTACTCATTCAATCAGTCTATTCTATTTGGGACTAAAAACTGGATATAGGCTTTGAATTTTGCTAATAACCAAGAAGGCATCTTACAACCCACAAGGTGCCTGGGATGTTACACTGCAACAATATTCTTCCTACACACACTGAGCCAGCAGCCTTCAAGTTTCCACATGTAAACTGAAACAAAACCTATCTTGTAGCACCTTGGACTAACAGATTCATTTGAGTATCAAGTTTTAAGGATTGCAATCCAATTCCTAAAACACTGTCTCTGAAGCATATGTGTCTTAAGAAGCGGGTTGTAATTCACAGAACTTCACACCAAAATAAAACTGAAATCTTCAAGGTGTCACAAGACGTTGTTTTTGTTAGTAGAGGTTTTTCGTAACAAAAAGGTAGCTGTCAGAGTCTATGCATACCAAGAAGAAAGACAACATCCATTCAAATTTTAATTTAAAAAACCATTTAATATTTAACTTAACTGTACAACATTTTTGCAATTGCCGCTGGTATCAATTTGCAGGAAATCTGAGTAGGAACCTGCTCTTTAACATGGGAATCCAAAAGAAGTAGCACCTCTGTGAGATCATTCAAGTTCATCACACACTTTTCTCACTTCTTTTTCGCTTCTGTCTTCTGGGAATGTAAACCTTCATGAGATTTTAACCTGGAAATCCTCCCCATATTTGCGGATCATCTTGTCATGATTGTGATCCACAGACCACTGTTCTGGGAGATGCTTGGGCTGCATTACATCCAGGAAATGCTGGCGCCAACATCTTTCCAGTTGCATGAGCGAGCGCAGTCCTCCTTTGGCAAAACAGTGCACCACTTTCAGGCCATGTGGCATGTAGCATTCGTTAAAAATCCTGAAAAGGCACAACAAAGCTTTGATTCAGACAGAGACAGAACCTCGTAGAATACTGAATCACAGAGAGAACCAATACCATTTTGGCCTCCTATTCACACTTCAGAATTATGCTGTCAATCACTTTAATGTGTTCCCTGCAGTTCAAACTGGTATAGGTTTCTTTAAGTTTCATAAGCAAAAGTAGTATTAGCATTCCTGTGGATAAGCAACCTGGGAGACAGAGTAGTTCTATAATGGCAGGAAAGTTTTGCTGATAAAATTCTGACCATCTTCAAAGGGTCAGTTCTGTGTGTAAACCAGGCTAAATCAGTCAAGTTTAAAGCCAGAAGGTTCACAAATACTGTTAGGTAAAGGACCTTAAGAGGGGAAACCCTCAAAAGTGCCCAATGAGGGCTGCGCGTGTTCAGCATGCACAATGAGCTACCAAAGGTTTGGGAAGGGAAGGTGGAAGGGAGTTGTCTGAGAAAGGGCCTGGCTGGCTAACTGGAACTTTAAACAGAAAAGAAAGTGTTCCACATAAAAGCACCATCTTGTTACAGAACTGCATATATTCTTAACAACAGGCCAAGGGTTTGGGATAGAGCTGTGCTCTATTACTGTCAAAAAAAACCTGGGGGCAGGGGAGGAAGGACCCATTCAGTTGTTAAAATATGATGATACTCATAATGTGAGGAGGAGGAACACATTGGTTCCAGTTTCCTCTCTCATCATGTCCACTGCCTCCTACCTGGTGCCTTGCTACACATGGAGCAGTTTCCTCTCTCATCATGTCCACTGCCTCCTACCTGGTGCCCTGCTACACATGGAGGGTCTAAAGGATAGAGCCTCCTGTTTCTGTGGGGTCTCCCCACATGAACAAACCCCAGCCAGCACAGTTGGTGGTGAAGGCTTCTGGGAATTGCAGTCCAAAACTCCTGAGTAACCCAAGGTTAAGAACCAGTGGTCTAAAGGATAGAGCCTCCTTTCTGTGGGTTCTCCCCACATGAATCAGATCAGGGTTCTAATGCATGTGGACAAACTCCACAGGTGTAGAAGACTCTTCTCTTTATGTATGTCACCATCCACATATGAAGATGATGCACCCCCACACACATCTAAAGGATAGAGCCTCCTTTCTGTGGGTTCTCCCCACATGAATCAGATCAGGGTTCTAATGCATGTGGACAAACTCCACAGTATATCACCATCCACATATGAAGATGATGCAACCCCCACCTCACATGGCGAGCATGCCCACATTTTATTGCCTTGACAGGGAGAGAGAACCCTGCATTTCGTGCAACACCATAATATACTCTTAATATCCAGTCCATCTTCTCTGTCTTTAACTATGGAAGATCACTTCCATGCAGGAGAAACTCCTCGTGCCAAGCCTATTCCCGCTGACAGCAAAGAGACTAGGACTAAAGAAACAGAACCCCTGAGGAAGTTGTAAAGAGGCAGCCAAAAGTTAGAAGCTAAAGAAGGAAAGGCTCAGTGGATCTACAATCCTGCCTCATCAGTCTGACTCAGAACACAGAGTGGCATGCTGTTCAAGTCGCTGCTGTCTCTGACTGTACCTGGTTTCCAGTCCTGCTGCTTCTTGTAACATCTCTGGAGAAACTGCTGCAGATCCAAAATAGTCCTTGACCACCTGCAACAATTCCTCTTTCCTGGCTTCAGGTAGGCTGTCTGCATTCAGGAGAGCCCTGGCGGCTGAACGGACTTGCCTGCGGATGGGATCTTCAAGCAGGCGAACTCCCTCCTCGCAGCCCATGGGGGCACCAAACTCCTCAGCCAGCTGCTGCTTGAGATGGTTATCATAGTAATTGGAGACAGCATGGCAGGCCGTGCAAAGGAGGAGCACATCATGGGAGCTGTGGTCCTTCATCTCCAAGGGGAAATGTTTCCGATACTCATGAGGCACTATGTTCTTCCTGTTGAGGAAACAGCTTCAGTTAAGTGGAACCTGCTGAAAGGTAGAGCCACTGGGCCTGGATCTACCTTTAGCAGGCTCTCTGAACCATCTAATATTTAAGATTGATCAGAAGAAACATACTTGATGGCTATTCTGCAGTTCTTCTCGAGACTTGCCACAATCAAACTGGCTTCTAACCAATGGGGTTAGAACTGGATTGTGGCTTTAATAGTAGAAACAGTTGCATAGTGATTAATAAGTGTGGAAATTAATAAAGTGCCAATACACATGGAAGCACTATCTGCAAGAGGGTGCAACAACAGGCAGATCTACAGTATATGGTATGGGAGCCAGTGCATTTTAGTGGACAGAATGTTGAACTAGGACTCAGGATATATGTATTCAAATCTCCACTCAAGCATGGAAACATATGGGGGGGGGATGGAAATGGTAAATCACTCCTTGAACATATCACATACTTCAGAAACCTTATTAGGGTGGTCATAAGGCAGAAGCAACTTGATAGCACATAAGAACAACAGATTTCTGTGGCTTTCACAAGCTTGTCAGGGGCATGCAATGCACATTTTGATTTGTGACCGTTTATTTCATACTCTCATTATTTCATGCTCTCATTGGACATCAAACTAATTAATGTGATATAGGATACCATATGATCATACAATGCTATGTACAACAAATAATCATCTGAAATCTTCTGAAATGTGAAATCACAATGCTTTATGATTCACTTAATTTATAATTTTTTAAAAATTTATAAGTCACATTTAGCATCTCATATGGATTTGAAGGAGTGGACTTTACTTACCGAGCAGTGGACTCTAAATTACCAAGCAGGTATTTTACTCCATTTCCATACTTATATATTCACAGGATCCTATCCAGTGTTATTTTTTATGTCTTCAAAAAATGTAACACAATAGAAACTCTCACTTAGCGTGCCTTCTAGAATTGTGCTCCATCAGATGAAAGGATCTTCTCTGGACAACTCACCTAATGTAAGACTCCCTTTTACCACACACAACACACAGGTTCTCTTTGACTGTCAAGTAGTAATCCCTTTTAGACTCAGGGCGCCCAGAAGGTTCAAACTGCAACTTCACAATAAATGGGTCAGTGCTCACCAATTCTGGAATGGCAAAGACAGAGAACATCAGATCTTCAGTGTTCACTTTCTGCTCATTTACACTCCCTGAAATAGGGAAGGGAAATGTGCAGCTATCCATATGTTGCTAGATTACAATTCCCATAATTCCGCACCATGAGTTATACTGGTGAGGGCTACACATTCCTCATTCCTGCTTTAAATAATAAATTGCAGCAAATATTGACTGTAAAGCTGAACATCAAGCAGTGGCAGAGACACGGGTCTGATCTAGCTTTTTTTAGTACTTATATCGATATCAGTTTGACCTTCCCTGTACAAATCACAGGATATTGCTGAGGCAGAAGTGAAGTAGTCCTGATGCTCTAGTTTCATCACCAGTGGCCCCTTCTCTACCTTTCTCTCTCATAAGCATGTAGACTAGGTTCATTTTTTATTCAGATGGAGAGCTGATTTTCTACCTCAGGGAAGGAAAAAGGCAGAAAGGCACGGGCAGCAGGTGGCCAGAATGAGTTACTATGTAAAAAGAGAATATTGAGGTCTGCTTAGTATCACCAGCTTCAGGAAGCTGGAGAAGAACGAATGGGAAGATAACATAGATTCCATCAGATTGGCTATATATGCATCTCAAGTATGAATTATTATTTTGATCTACATCAAGCAGTGAGGCCATTTTTCATCAATGGTTTCCTAATAACAAAATCTAAAACAGTGACAATGACTTTCCAACCTTAACGATTCTTGCTGACTAATATGAAACAGGCTCACAAACCTCCAATGCCCTTGTCAAGGTACCACTGGGCCTTCTTGCGATCACAAGTGCAAAGAGGCTGCCCATCTGGTGCATGCAAGAAGCAATTTTCATATAAGGGAGATTTTCTGTGAAAACAAATGGATGTTACAGGCATTATCCAACATGAAATTGTACCTTGCCCTGCCCAGTATAACTGCTGTTTTTAATGAGGTATAAACACACTTGTTAGACAGATAAACTGAATGGCTACATCTGAGTGTCTTCCGTTCATTCACTTAAAAGCAAGATTCACTAATTTCAACAGAACTTACTTCCAAGTAGAGCTTAAGCAAACTTTAGTGAAAAAGTCACATTCTACTATAAACTACTATACATTCTAACTACTGTATAAATATAGCAAATCTGACTAGAAGACAAAACTCCACCCAGTAGTCATCAAGAGAAGTGGAACGCTGAGAATGTCAGTCTGGCTAGGGCTAACAGCTCCTTGGTTCCTCTACTCACAAGACTATTTCCATCAGTGGTCTTCCCATCTGCCAACCGTTCCAGCTAAGTGCCAGAACAACAAAGCTCTTCCTGTAGATCTTGTTGATAACAATTTTATCTTTCATCTTCCATTGTCTCCATCAGTAGCCATTCTACACCTTTCTGGGGGAAAATTGCCCTGTTTTGATTCACCTCAGTTCGATTATTTTCTTCTTCCCTTTTTTATTTATGTCAGTCACTGTGATGGAGACTCCCCCACTTTTCTTTTCTTTACTGCACAGTGTTTTGTGACATTTCCAGCACTTTAACAAAAACAGAGCCATGCAAGCAAATTCTTAAAGATAACGAAGGAATGCTTAATCATTTCCAGCAAGAAACCCGGTTTCTATCTTGGTCTGTACCTCGTGTTCCAAAATATGGAAGGCTCTCTCATTAAGGCACTCTAACCAAGCCAGGAAAGGAAAATGGAACCTCAAAAGCTATGTCCACCTGCCAGGGTTTCCTTCAAGAATTCATCTCCAGAAACAACCTTTATACTTGTAGCAGACCCATGATAGGCTACTGAACCCTGACTGTTGGGCCACTTTAGGGAAAAAGGCACAGTTACCTCACTGAATATCCTACTCCTAGGGGCTTTCGCTTATGTTTTCGAGGATCTTTTGTTTGCCCACTGCCAGCGGACTGCCCGTTTGCTTGTGGCTTCTGATTCTTCCGCTTTTGTTCTGAGACTTTTCTGTTTTCTTCCTCTCCAAGGCTACTACTGTTTCTTGCTTTAAAGGCCACATCCACCAAGCCCTGACACTTCCTCAGAACCTTTTCCCAGCTGGGAAGAGCAGGCTCACTGCCTGATGTACAAGGCAAGAAGGGCAATCTCAGCAGATGAAGGAACAGAGCTACTGACACCTGGGCATCCCTGGCAGCGTACACAACCTGCAGAGGAAAGGGGGGGAAAGTCCACATTATACTGTGCAACAGCTTTTTTGATCTTTGACAGAATCCAGGATAAACACTCCTAAACATGAAGGGAATACATGACAGTAAATAAAGTACGGAAGGAAATCCTTCTTGTTCTTAGATGTTGTCACAAATGGAAGGACTTTTTGATTTACACACCCACTACTAACTGCTGATGATGATGTGAGAGCCTTCTATGAAATACCAATCAACGTGTACGACTAATCAACGTGTATAACTAATGTGTACAGTATTCTGAGTTAATGCAACTAAGTATCTCCACATACCCCGTTTCCCCGAAAATAAGCCCTAATCGGAAAATAAGCCCTAGTATGATTTTTCAGGATGCTCATAATATAAGGTCTACCCTAAAAATAAGCCCCAGTTAAGTGAAACCCCACCCTCCACCATTGTGCAGTAACCAGAAGAAGATGATACAGTAAGACCCTGTCTTATTTTTGGGGAAACACGGTATATGTGATTCTCGCTATCTCAGTTTGAATCACATTGTTGCTCACATTTGATTCATGAACATATATGAATTAATGTTTGAGACACTGGAATAAAACTGTGGTGCAGAGCTAGGCCAAAGTACTGAAACTGGGAACCAACCAGGAAATGTAGGTAGCGATAGAGAACCATTTCCTTAGAGAGCTAAGATGCCCAAGTCACATATTCAGAGCTTTAAGAATGAATCATATGTGAGTACAATGGTCTAAGGAGTGGGAAGGTGCCTGAAACTAAGAAGTACTATGAAAGAGGAGCAAAGTGCACTTTGAAAAATAACCAAGGACATCAGTTACAACAATCAAGCGCCCGAGAGGCTTATCGCAAACAACTTGTCTATTTGCCAGGGAAATTATTCAAGAAATTTCATACCAGCTCCTGACAGGATGTTTCTCATCTACCACCAACGGAGGAAACACATCGCAAACAACTTGTCTATTTGCCAGGGAAATTATTCAAGAAATTTCATACCAGCTCCTGACAGGATGTTTCTCATTATGTGGCACCTACACCATACATCTACCACCAACAGAGGAAACACAAAAACAGAACATGAGCAAAAAAATAATGTAAGCCAGCAAACTCTGGCATATGGGTATAAGGAGTAGTCTTGGGGCAGCCTCAGACTTGCAGGAGGGGGCATCTCCACCTTAATTGAAGCTATTGAAATGACCAAAACAGGCAACCCACCCGGCAAGTGTAAACTGCCTTAACTACAAAATGATGCTACCACAATGGGCGGTGGGGGGGAGGAAATCCCACAAACCTGTTCTTGAGCCAGTTCTTCTTCTTCCCAGTTGCTGCAGCGTAGGTGAAGAGACTTATCAAGTGAGTAGTTGAGAATCCTCTCAGCAAGAGACTTGAGACTGAGGCCATTCTGGGCAAGAGCCTTACTTTAGGTTTTGTAGAAGAAGGTGGGGAAGAGAGAAATAATTATGTTTACCCAATAAGACAGATTGGCTTTGGGACAGGACAAAGTGTATAAGCTATTTCCCTGCTCAATCACTATAAAACATGTACAGAACTTTCTTAATTAAGACCCAGAGTTTATTAATTAATCTCAACATTTTGAAATCTAAATTGTCAATGCTACTGACTTTGTAAAATCCTTTCATAGCTGTTGTCATTTGATTAAAATAGGAAACAGGATACAAAATAGGAAAAATTATGTAACAATGAAGTGTGTTCTGTGCCATCAAGTCAGAACTGACTTACAGAGACCCTAACAGGACTTTCAAGATATGTGAGATAGTTAAGGAGTGGTTTTACCAGTTCCACTCCAAACCCCAGTGACTTTCCATGGCTGAGCTAGGATTACAACCTGTTCTTCCAAAGTCCTCATCTGTTACTCTATCCTATACACCACACTGAGACATGTAACAGTATTAGAACTGAGTTATAAACAAATACTACTAACCTGCTGGCCAGTATTTCTGGGAGTTGAAGTTCAAGAACATCTGGAGGCCCAAGACTGGGGACCACTGCTATACACCACATTGAGGCATGTAACAGTATTAGAACTCAGTTATAAAGAAATACTACTAACAACACAATAAGCAGCAAAAGAACAGTTGCTACTATATTTGGTGCCTACTGCACTTAGTATCATTCTGTGCTCTATATTCTATAGGGCTTTCACTGAGTGTGAAGTCCTATCTGTGTAGAAATGTAGGATCATGCCACTTGTGTAAGCAGTGTTACTAGACTGATGGGAATTTCCTCTCAAGGGAAGTGCCACGGAATACTGGCTTAGAAAGGTTTCTATTGGTGGAGCGAATAAAAAAAATTAGAAGCACATGTATAAGATGCCCCCATGTATAAGACACCCCCAGTAAGCAGTGTTACTAGACTGATGGGAATTCCCTCTCAAGGGACGTGCAACAGAATACTGGCTTAGAAAAGAAAAGTTTCCATTGGTGGAGCGAATAAAAAAAATTAGAAGCACATGTATAAGATGCCCCCATGTATAAGACACCCCCACTTTTCTAACCCAAAATTAAGAAATCTAAGTGTGGCTTAGCAAATGTAAGGGGAAAGGGATCAAAGCGCTGCAGGATCACTTTGATCCCTGCTTTCTCCTTTCGTGCTAAGCCCCATGGAGCTTAGCAAAAGGAGGGGGAAAGGGATCAAAGCAATCCCGCAACTGCACGATCATGTTGATCCCTTTCCCCCTTCTACAGCCATAGGATTGCTTTGATTCTTCCCCCCTCCTTTTGTTAAGCCCCATGGGACTTAGCAAGCAGAGGGGAAATCAGGGATCAAAGCGATCCTGCAGGAACAATTTGATCCCTGCTTTCCCCTCCACTTGTTTTTGTACTCTCCTCAACTTACTTCCGTGTATAAGATGAGCCTCAATTTTTAGTCTACAAATTTTAAACAAAAGTATAGTCTTATACATGGAAAAATATGGTATATTTGAGTACCAAAGGACACACTCTTCTGGGGAGGTTACACACCTCTGTCTCATGGCCAAATACCGGAGATCCACAGTCCCTTTGACTACTACACCATAGTCACGAAGTAACTTGCACGCATCTTCCCAACACCCCACTCCAACTTTTAAGATGCCACCATCTGCCAGAATGTCCACCAATGTCTTTGGAAGAACCTGCCCACCACCAGTCAGCCTGGACAAGCGGAGAAGAATACAAAGACCACTGGCTGCTGCCATTTGTAAAAGAGAGACAGGCTTGGTCTTCTTCCCTTCTGTTGACACCTAGAAAGAAGAGAAGAATGAATGGGTTCATTTCTTACTGAAATGTATGTCGCAGAACAGTAGGAAAGAGTTTTATAAAGAAAAGGCATTTGCCAGTCTAGGTCATACTCACTGAGTACAGGGGCATTTTCAGTTTTGTTTTTTATAGACCCAAAGGAAATATTACATATTATACTACCCATCCCCAATTGACGAAGACAAATCCTGGACCTGAAATCTGCTAGAATAGAGCTGGAGAACTCTGGCTCTTGAAATGCTAGACTCTTCAACTCATGGGCCCATGATGTAACATAAAGGGTGATGGGAATCAATAATTCATCAACAGGTGAAGGGTCACAGATTCTCTGCCTCTGTTCTAGAAACTACCCTATGACTCAGGTTGTTTCCCCCTAATTGCAGAATTCACTGGGAGTTCCACAGCCATGGAAATCAAGTTCCTAGCACTGAACTCCAGAGCCTTACTCCACTTAAGTCTTATCCCTTTGTTACATTTTTTCCAGATGCTTCTGCAGACCTTAGGGTTCACCTGCACCTAATAGTACTACCATCACATACAGATATGGTGTTTATTTGCCTGCACAAGGACCCACATATAGAAAAGATGTTTAGTCTTATACATCTTTATAGGCAGAACAATTTTGTTTGGGAAGAGTTATTTTCTTTATAGAATTTGTGCCACTGATGCCAACCAGCCATAGACAGCAATACAAAACAGCACTGAGGGTAAAAGAGCAGAAATGTAGAAACACCTGGAAACACAGATATACTGATCTAATCCTCTGACCCTTTGTCACCCAATCAGACCCTGATCCCACCACTGTGATAGACTTAATTACTTTCTATTGTCTGTTAAAGAACTAACTTTAAACTGTTGGTAAGGAGAACTGTTGGCAGTTTAGAACAGTTACCAATGGTTTAATTTGACAACGGCTTTAAGCTTCTCCCAGAGAAAGGACCACTCTATTCATCTGAAGAAGTGCGCTTAGACACATGACAGCTTATGAAAAATAAAGACTAGTTAGTCTTATAGATGTGACATTGCTATTTCTAGTAAATAAATCCAGTCATCATTTGCATCTGTTTTATGATACTAGGCCCAAAATGGGTGAAGCACATCCCTCTTGATGGTGTTGGACTGCAATTCCCAGTATGCTTCACCACTAGCCACCTTATTAACCCCAGCAGCCAGTGTAGGTGATGGTGAGGAATGCTGGGAGCTGCAGTTCAGAAATATCTGGAGATTATACTTTCTTTACCCTCCCATGTGTTGGGGGGTTAAAATGTATTGCAGCCTTTAATACTTACCCATTCACAGTCAATTCCAAGGACTGGACAATGTTCCAACTCTTTTTTTAGTAAGAGCTCCACTTCATTCCACTTCTCTACCTCAGAAATGATAACCACTTCTCCTTCAAGAATCTTTTGCAACCATGGGATTGTGGAAGAGGATATTAATGTAGCAAACTCCTCTTCAGAGAGGTTTTCTTCTTTCTTAACATTAGCCCCTCCTTGCTTACGGGCAGCACACGTTTTGTCTTTCCAGTGTTGGATTACCTTCCAAAAAAGCAGCCCTCCTCCTACAATACCTAACAGGGTGGCCACAGTAACAGTGACCGCTGTGGGCCTCAGCATCTTCCCATTCTTTGCACTACTTCACCTCCATAAAAAGGACAGTACAGATTTATCCTGTAATCTGTAAAGAATAGTAGAGGGAAAATAGTTATTAAGTAATCATAATATCAAGAGAAAGTCAGTATTTTTGAAATCATAGTAATACTGAGGCAAAATACACTAAAACTATAAAATCAAGGTAGGGATAATTAAAAGAAGGGAAGTACAACAGAAGGGATTGGCTTTGTCTACTTTGGAGATTCACAGAAGACATCTCAGTATGTAAGTTTATTGATTAAGAAGAAATGCTTAAAAGTCACCATGTAATCCTGACTTGCTAACATCTGGGGGGGGGCAGCTCAGGGCAAGGGGTGGATGATGTTGTCTGCTCACCGTTATACTAGAATACTCTATACTAAACTATACAGGGTGGCCTAAACTCTCTCCTTCGCACTATGAGACATGCGTATGTGTGTGTGCACACGCCATCCTCTCTACCATCAAAAGGTGGGGCGAGATTGAAAATCAGAAGCTTTAGGACACCACGCGGGGAAAGAAAGGCAACGCAGAAGAAAGAGCTAAACCAATTGTGGAAGAAAAGGTAGAACAGGAAGATAAGATGGTAGAAGTGGCATTGAAAACACAGGAGGAGGGGGGGAAAGAGTGCGGCAAATGGAAGGTGGGTGGAGGAGTCCAGATGTACTAAGAGTTAAAAAGGGAAAGGGGAAAGTCCTGTCAGAAGGATGGGAATGGATAGAACTGGAGAACCTCTGGACTGGTGAATGGGAAAATTTGATGGTGCCAGGGGAGGAATGGAGAGAAGGCAGAAAGAAATGGTACCCCCCAAACCCTCACATGGTATGGGCAGAAAACAGAGGAAAGAGAGAGCAAGCCCTGGCCCAAGAGAGAGGAGGAGTGATGGGAAAGATGGTGGGATGTATTTCCAAGCAAGAACTGGAAGGCATGGGAGAACCCTGGGAGGCCACTGACAGCAGAGTGGTGGAGGCTGGGGTCCAATGATTCTGATCCTGCTGCCACCAGGGTCCATACAGGGTCTAAAAACTTAAGAGACTCTTGGACTGATGAAGGGAGAAGACCCCCTAAAATTGACAGAAGTTCTTGGAATCCCTTCCTCAACCCATTGGAGAAAAGGAACTCTACCTGTTGAGTTATGCCTGTTGCCCCTATTGGGCCTTTGTTAATAAATGTTAATGGTCTGAAGCAAAAAGATGGCTTCATGCTGTTTCGTGAATGGGGAAACAAGAGGCACTCACCCAACAACCCTCTCACACACTATATTACGAACATGGATTTGGAATGGAACCATGTTCACAGCACAGAACAGTATTACCCATCTTTGATATGCAGTTTACAAAGACTAGATAGAAAATCATGCACTCATGTAGTGAAATAAAATACTCACTCCTGATATATGGATAGCTCTAATTTTTGCCCTGGGGAAGAAAAGAGAGAGAGCGATCTCAAGGAACTGGGAATAGACATATTTGCTCCAGATCTTGAGACAGGAAAGCAGCTAAATACTTACTTACGGAACATAGTCTTATTGTGCTTCTATGAGAAAAGCTGCCAATAAACTTAATGTTTATAACAAAATGTTCAGTCCCAATCTTTTCTGATGCTACCTTCCTTATATTTCTGGATCTCAATTTACTTTGGGCATGCTATTTCACATTTGATCAATACTCTGTATTTCTACAGTAATGTTTCCTAAACAAAACTGTTGGCTAGAAGGATGCTCTATGCAAGAGCCAAATGTAGATCAATCTACTGTGCTATGTAGAAACTCATTGCCTCGCAGATGAAATGAGATTAAAGTTGGCATACAGAACAGAATACATTCTTGCATCTAGTTTTTATCTTCTACTACCATTACAGTGCTGAAAAGAGTTTAAGTAATAGGTGTTAAATAATAGAAATAAGTAAATAATACCACTATATTATGTATATATTCAAAGTAGTCTGTCCTGCTTTGTGTATGTCATGAGAAGGCAGGATTTTCTGGAAAAGACAATAATGCTGGGAAAGGTGGAAGGCAGCAGGAATAGAGGAACCGTAAATAAGAGATGAGGTGACTCCCTAAAGAAACCATAGCCTTGAGTTCACCAGAGTAAAGCAGGGCAGTTGAGGACAGGCCCTTTTGGAGATTGCTTATTGATAGTGCTCACTGGAAGGACAGATCCTGAAGCTGAGGCTCCAATACTTTGGCCATCTAATGAGAAGAGAAGACTCCCTGGAAAAGACCTTAATGTTGGGAAAGAGTGAAGGCAAGAGGAGAAGGGGACGACAGAGGACGAGATGGTTGGACAGTGTCACCGAAGCAACCAACATGAATCTGACCCAACTCCGGGAGGCAGTGGAAGACAGGAGGGCCTGGCGTGCTCTGGTCCATGGGGTCACGAAGAGTCGGACTAAACGACTAAACGAAACGTATTCATAGTCCACCTAAGTTGGAGACTACTTGACAACGTACAACAACAACAACAATATTCCTTTTGCCAGACTAGCCAAATACAGTTAAATAGCACGACTTTAAAAAAAAGGAACTAAATTGCTCCATCCACGCACCCCGGATTCAGAGGGGGCAAATTAAAACTAAGTAACAAGGAAAGGAATAGGCGAATGCGGTCTTCTAATGGTACAGGATCCGAGCTGACTAACACGAGATATTATTCGGTTCTGGGGTGGGGGGAGAGAGGCGGGTAAGATGTCCCTTATTTCTTTAAAGGGCGCTCAATTTCATAGATCCAAAACAGCGTCTTTTGTGCGTCTAGCGTCAGATACGGCATTCCCTCGAGCAGACTTCATCTTTCTACCTTTGGCAAAATCAAAATAAAAATAAAGAAGACAAAGATGTGCCACGCAAAGACTAACTGCTATACTGTATTTTAATGTGAGCTTTCGTGGACAAGTCCACTTCTTTTAGACATCTGAGTAGGACTACCTTTGGTTTTCCAAGTTTTACGTTAGTACATTTGGCACCAGGCTGGGAGAGGGAAAGCCAAAGATTCCAGCAGTTTGGAGAAATTACTATGATCGCTAGCAGAGGAAAATGCAAAGTACAAAGAAATAAAAGGCACCGGGTATACGCTTCCCAACCAACCCCACGCGCCGTCCTAGGAACCCTAGCCGTAAATAAAACGCGCCGCGAGTTCATTACCAATTGCAGCAGCTCTGGGGGAACTCCTTCCTCGCAGTTCGTGCGCTTCCCGGAGGTTGTTTGTGAGGCACATTTCCGGCCAGGTGTATGTCGCGTCTTTGAAGAAGGAACGTACATCTGAATTGCTAGAGCTTCATGAAGTGTAGGGCGCTGCCATATTGTACGGCAATTTCGCTTAGTTCCCCCAGTTTGAGCTTCCGTTCCCTGTCAACTCCGGCAGGGGAGGTCCGAAGACAGAGGGTTCCTCACTCCGGCCTCTGATGTGTTGGTTAAAACAGTTGCTCGGGGATGTACTAAAACGAAGTCCAGGAATAGCCCCTGGAAACAATGAGGGTCTCTGTAATTTCCATAGAACATAACGGGAGCTGGGAATGACAATTGACGCGCCGGCTCTATTAAAAAAAATCATCTGAGCTGCTTGTAAAACCTGGAATGGATACCTAGGAGGAATGAGAAGGGGGTCACAAGTGCAGCAACAGTGATGGTTACATAACGACAGAATAGGAAGGAAGTCAAAGGAGAGGTGCGGAGGAAAGAGTTGGCAGCGGATGCAAAAGAGGTGTTGTTGTTGTTGTTGTTGTATGGCTCTGTGGCAAGACTGACGGGGAGCGGAGTGGCTTGGACGACACCAAGCAACGCATTTAAGTGGCAGGCTGGGGGGGGGGGAGCTCCTCATGTCCCATACTCTCAAAACGTCTGTCCCTGATCAAAGCGCCTCTTTGCTTCACAGGCGTGCGCTGCAAAGGGCAGCATTCCTTTTAGACACCGTGTGGTTTCCTAAAGAAGGCTGGGCATTATCCCATCACAAGGCGAAAATGATGTTAGGAAAGTGTGAGGGCAAGAGGAGAAGGGGACGACAGAGGATGAGATGGTTGGACAGTGTCACCGAAGCAACCAACAGGTTGTGAATTTGACACAACTCTGGGAAGCAGTGGAAGACAGGAGGGCCTGGCGTGCTCTGGTCCATGGGGTCACAAAAGAGTCCGACACGACTTAACGACTAAACAAATAAACAAAGGCGAAAATGACCAAGAAGCTAATAAGCAAGATGCGGAGAAGCAGAGTCCACTTTATGACACCCATAACATGCGATCCAGAGTTGGCAGATTTCACAGAAGTAACCACGTTAGCCTGTTTCAACATATGTATCAAAAACAACACAAAGATAACATTTTAAAAATAAATTTAGATCAACAAGTTTAATTCTAACAAATTTATTTTGGTTTATTTTTTCGAGAATCACAGCCCATCCTTTTTCCTTAGACACACAGTTGCCAAAGGATTTTCAGTTAGCAAATGGGTGTTGAGGGAATTTATGAAGTTCATAGCAATTGTGAGCAGAATGAAGTTTATAGTGGTTGCATAGTGTCTGATAACATGGAATAAGAGATTTCTGTGTATAAAAATGATATTAAACTATTTAAAACTGTTCCGAAAATTGTTAGAAACATAAAAATACTTCAACTGTGTGGCAAAAAAAATGCAGTAGATGTGGCAATTCAATTTCAGATTAAAGCATATGCTAACCAAGCTAGGGGACCACTTTGCTTTTCCTGATCATTGTCATTCCTGAGTGGTCTAAAATCTATAGCGGTACCAGTGATCATGATAATCAGCTGAAAAGCAAACAGGCCAGTAGACACAATAAAAGATGCAAAATGAAGATGTGAAGAGTACTCACAAATATTAGTCTCATGGAATTTGACTAAATGAACCATGGGATCATAGCTGTGTAACAGAAGTCACAATACAGATGGCCTGGAGCAGCTTCTTGAAGATGAAGAATGTTGCATGCAACAAGCACTAAATCTGGCTTAGTGAATTCTCATTGTACAATGCTAGGTTTTCCTGTTTCTGCTATATGGCATAGAGTTTTGGCCTGTAAAATAGACTGCTGTAAAAAACATTTGAGTTGTGAATTTGTCACCGGACACTGAGAATATCTTAGATTGAGAGGGTAACCAAAGAACAAGTACTAAAGCAAATAAATAAAGACCAAGAAATCATATAACACGTAAAGTACAAAAAGCTAGAATACTTTGGTTACATAACAGCAAATGACAATGAAAACAATTCATTCAGATTATCTGGAAGCTGTAGTTGTTTAGTTGTTAAGTCCTGTCCGACTCTTTGTGATCCCCATGGACCAGACCACGCCAGGCCCTCCTGTCTTCCAATGCCCCCGGAGTTCGTCAGATTCATGTTTGTGGCTTCAATGACACTGTCCAACCATCCCATCCTCTGTCATCCCCTTCTCTCACACTTTCCTAACATCAGGGTTTTTTCCAGGGAGTCTTCTCTTCTCATGAGATGGCCGAGGTATTGGAGCCTCAGCTTCAGGATCTGTCCTTCCAGTGAGCACTCAGGCTTGATTTCCTTCAGAATTGATAGGCTTGATCTCTTTGCAGTCCAGGGGACTCTCAAGAGTCTTCTTCAGCACCACAATTCAAAAGCATCAATTCTTCGGTGGTCAACCTTTTTTATGGTCCAGCTCTCACTTCAATACATTGCTACTGGAAAAACCATAGCTTTCACTATGCGGACCTTTATCGGCAAGGTGATGTCTCTGCTTTTTAAGATGTTGTTTAGGTTTCTGATCTCTTTCCTCCCAAGAAACAGGTGTCTTTTAATTTTGTGGCTGCTGTCTCCATCTGCAGTGATCATGGAGCCCAGGAAAGTAAAATCTGTCACTGCCTCCATATCTTCCCCTTCTGTTTGCCAGGAAGTGATGGGACCAGTGGCCATGATCTTAGTTTTTTTGATGTTGAGCTTCAGATCATTTTTTCACTCTCCTCTTTCACCCCCATTAAGAGGTTATTTAATGATATTTCTTCTGGCAATCTTAATTCTAGCTTGGGATTCCTCCACTCCTGCCTTTTGCATGATGTATTCTGCATATTCTGCATATACGTTAAATAAGCAGGGGGACAATATACAGCCTTGTCGTACTCCTTTCCCAATTTTGAAGCAATTAGTTGTTCCATATCTAGTTCTAACTGTTGCATCCTGTTCCACATATAGATTTCTCAGGTGATAGATGTCCATGGAGTTTTCTTGGCCAAGATAGTGGAGTGGCTTGCCAGTTCCTGCTCCAGGTGGATCGGGTTTAGTCAGAACTCTCCACTATGACCTGTCCATCTTGGGTGTCCCTGCACGGCATAGACCATAGCTTGTCTAAATTATTCAAGCCCCTTCACCACAACAAGGCAGCAATCTGTGATGGGGATCTTGAAGTTAAGTCATGGCAACTGGACATCTTTCTTATTAGGTTTTCAACCAAATAAGAAAGAAGTCATGTTGCCATGAATCAACTTCCAGATAACCTTACCTGGGTGACTGAGAATTTACACAGATGTAATTCTTTCAGATTGTTGCTAGAGCTGATCATTCAAGTGAAAATAACTAGGGGAAACATGCAGCAAGAGAACTTTTAGGCTGAAAAACTTTAGAGGTTGGTTATGGATGCAACATACAACATCATTGTTCAGAGCTATTGCAGCCAGAGTAAGAACAACCATGGTGACATCATTCTGATGGGACCAGAACAAAGAAAAATGAAGTGATATAGATAGCCATTTTCTAAACAAATTAATACACACACACAGGTCTCCCTGTTCTCCCTGAGCTTAGCTACAGCTTTCATAGTTCAGGATGGGGAGGGTAATGGTTATTCTAAGCAGCAATATGTTGTTGTGATCTCTCTGTGCTATTATGCATATTATTTTGAACTCTCTTGATTATGAATGTGCAATAAAGACTCATTAGATTTACAAAAGACCTGCTCTTTGTGGGGATAAAAACTGCTTGAACTGCCTTCTTACCACAAATAAATTTTCATGTGGTTACCTGAAAATTAACAATTTTTATTAGGCATACTTTTGTGAATTGCAGCCACAAACGTTTATGCCACTGGCATCTGTTAGTTTTTAAAGTGCCCCAAACACTTTTTATTTTTTCTATAACAGATCAAGAAGGCTACTTCCCCCGTGACACTTTATTTTAAATCAACACGGCTAACAGATTTTTGCATTTTCTGTAGTGGCATAATTATGAAACAGTCACCTTGAGTGCTTGTACTTAAAATTTATCAGGACAGTGGTAGGAATCCCATGATGTATAACACCCAACCACATTTTCACTGCTGATTTCCTTTTTCAAAAGTGAAATTGTAGCATTATGTTGTCATGCAGAAGCAATATACCGGTGACACCTGTGTTAGCACTATACCTTTTATGCTTTTCTGTCAGCTGTTGTTGTGTATGCAATATGCTCCAAGGTTTCCTATAAATGAGAAATAACACTGGCTATGACTGCTGTTCTGACATGATTGGCAACCATGTAAATATGAATCCTTCCCCCATTGCAGAGATGGGGAAGTTACTGTAGGGCAGTGGTTCCCAACCTTCAGTAACTCAGGTGTTCTTGGACTGCAGTTCCCAGAAGCCTTCACCAAAAGAGTGTACTGACCAGGGTTTCTGGGGCTTGTAGTCTAAGTACATCTGAATTACCCAAGGTTGGGAACTATTGCTAGGGGATGACAGCTTCATGAACCCCACAAGCTGTGGAATTCTCAGAGCTGGGCTCCAAAAAGTAACTTTTCTTCTTTATGTTGTCTTGTGACTGAGGGGAAACGATAGCTGCCAATCCTTTAGAGTATCTATTGATTCTAATGTTTGTTTGTTTGTTGAACCTGTACTGTCTCTTTTGCAGATTTAACAAGGTATCATGCAGATGAGAATGAGAGTAAGATTCAGAATAAATTACATTTTTCTCTCATCATACCCACAATTTCTCCCATTTTGGCTTTCACTCAAGCAGATACTGTATATGCCAGCATGAGGGTAATAAAACAATGGTGAGATGCCAGTGTAGGTTCATGATGTCAACATATCTTCTGGCTGTACAATATACATGGAATTAGCAGCAGCCATTTGTTTGTCTAGGAGGCATGAGCTAAAAGTCCGATTGCCTTGGATAAAAACAATCACACCCAGTAGTTAAAGCAGGAGTGGGCAAGTTGCGGACTGTAGCTTCCCAGGATGCCTCCCCAGTGGCTGTACTGGTGATAGCTGGCAGAAATTGCATGCAAATGACATCTCAAAGGCCAGTCTTGGTAGCTCAAAGAGTCAAAGATACTGTCAACAAACCAAATCCCAAGCCTGTCATGTCCCTGAGACCACTTCTCTGCGTTGCAAAGTTTATTAGCACTACCCGGAATTCTAATGTACATGGAATGAACAAGCATGGCTGGCTGTTGGGCTCTGTTTCTTTTTTAAAATACCGCAGGATTCCATAACATCCAAAATAATTGTCAAAATATGTTTACCATTAAAGTAATAAGACCATGACTTCTGAACA